GAATATCGCGTCTTCCTTGTCATCGTCGTCGACGCCTTCACCAACCTCCTCCATTCATCCCTCTACTGTAAAACGAAAAAAAAAAAAACAAAACGAGCGGCGGCGTCTCTAACTCTCATCCGCTGCACGGCGGCCCAACATCTGTTGCGGCGCCGCCGGCGATGGTTGGAAATTAATAATAAAACTCGAGACCGTTGCCACGTTAAGTGGCCTCCACCGCCTCCGCCTGACGTCATCTCTCAATCCGAATAATTTAATTGCCACAGCGGTCCCCATAATTCTCCGTTCGTCCGTCCGTCTCTCCCTTCGTCTCCCACCCCTTCCCCGAGATATCTTTACGCGTCACACTCCGTCGTCGCCGTTTTCTCCTCATTCGGTTTCGACGGCGGTGGGTAATATTTCGCCCCCCCCCCACACTACCGCCACCAACCCTCGCCATCGCGTGTGCTATACCTACTATACGACCACATCTGTCAGTAATATCTCTCTTCTTTTTACCGAAAAGACGTCGAGACGGGTTTTAATTGCCACCCCCAGCCCAACCGTGCCGTTCCAAAAATATTACTCGAAACGTTTTTAATGATTACACAAGTACACAACCCGCGCTCGCTCAATAGTGAAATCGTTCACACACACACACACACACACGCGCACACACATAGACACACACGCGCGAGCGCTCATGCTCGGGTGGGTGGCGCACTCGTTTCGGGGTAAATTATAGAAACGTCCAGGGTGCGAGGCATGCATGTGTGTAGGGAGGAGAGGAAAAGAGAAATCGGCTTCTCGAAACTTTCTGACGGAATTTCCCGCAAAATCGCTTTAATCTCGTTATGCGCACCGTGCACCACACGCGTACTATATACAGACAAACGTCGCGGACGAAAAGGAGAAACCGAGCCTGTGTAACGTATATAATAATATGTACATGCACACATGTACAGATACACATTAGAATATTTAATCACACGGTGGGCCGACCAAGTGATATGAAAATATTATATTATACACGTATAAGAAACACGACAATATAGGGAATTGTAGTAGGTGGAGGGTGCTAGAAACTCGTCAATGACGACACCAAACGACTTGTTTACGACACTTGTCACCTCCACAGCACAGTTTATCGACACCAGCGTAATCGCCATTTTCACTTAAATTACGCAATGGCACAAGAAAATAATTGTTTGATAGAAAAAAAAAAACCCCCGTCTGGTCTACGGAGATCTTGGAGCTGGAATTTGTGGAGCAGCTGATTATCGAATTGTGGGTAGTGGTGTGAAGACCACTGATAACGCTACTTTTTTTTTCTTAACGATATACGTATTGCAAGAGGGGTTCTTTGGAAGACGCGATATCTCATCGGCACTTTGTGCGCATTCCATCGGCGTGGGACATATACGAATGCGCGATTGTTTGCGATTCAAGTTATCATATTATATTGCGCAAACGTTTTGCATAAAATAATAATAAAAAGATATGTCATATTGTATTATTAATACCTACGTAACAACAACAACGCATGGTGGTATTTTTTGAATCGATACTCCTCCCTCGTCTCTACAACCATAAGCAAGGAAGAGTAACATAACAATACGCTCGAGTACCATCTCGATTGAATATAATATTTCGTTCTTTTCATGTTTTTTTTTTTTTTATCTCAAATCGGCTACCACAACCGTATGATCGACTTTTAGAAAACGCACTTAATGACCTGGTTGCTCTTAGATAGGAACACTTCTGAGTATCGATGTTTTTCAATTTTATTCATCTACTTTTGAACTGAAGCTCTGTAAAATTATAGGCAGATATGCATCCGATAAACCATCTACATCAAAGGCAATTCAACGAAAAGACTAACTCATATTTTACTATCTTATTCGTAGAAACCACAACAAATGACTTTGGCATACAAAGTACATTTTAAAAAAACAAATTAAAAAAGGACATCATATTATATCCAATAAAAATTCAAGGAAATGAAAATAACGCTCAGTTATGGTCACTCTCACAAGCACCACACACGAAAACATCATATTTTTCCAACAGAAGCACTGGTCGGCCGTCGGAATTTCCAACTCCCACACCCACAATTTTTATCCACAACTCTGTATCCTACTCATAGAATAAAAACTCACGAGCAACGAAAATCGAATTAAGTTAAAAATATACAATAGAAATAAATAAATCCTAATGATAAAGAAATATAAAATATTATGTACTTATACGTTTAAGAAAACGAGAAGTTTAAGAAAGTTCAAATAAACATAGATTATACTGTTATTATACACCTAATACCTATAAATTTATTTGTAAAGTATAGGTATATATAATATTAAATTATAATTGTAGGATACAAAAATCTGTTCTTTTGAGACCTTTTTGAAATGCAATTTAATACAATATACATATTATAAACACATTTACAGTAGATTTTATCGAGTGCAGGTTTTAATTTTGAAAGTTAAATTCGAGATATTGGCTATTATCATTGTGTTGGTTTGTAAAAAGCACATTTTTGTACCTACCTATTTAATCCACTACTTTATTAACACAAGACTTTCATGTAATCCTTCAGTTTGTTATTTCCATAAGCATATTTATTTTTTATTTTTTAAACATTTTAATCCAAAACTTGTAATCATGATTTTATGTTCAAATCTTTTCTAACAATAAATTATACATATAATATGATATTTTTAAAATAATATGATTGTGCATATAATTTCTATAATGTTTTCCTCACAACGCTAACCAAAAGACGATTAAAACTATTCAAAGAATTATTCTCTCTAATCAACCAAATTAAGTAGCAGAAACATACAGAATAATTAAATCTGACCTTAACTTCAAAGGCCGTGGTTTATAGATTGGTGTTCATAAGCCATATACAGAAACTTTAAAACATTTGTTTTACAAGAGATATCATTATACTTCATCTTATTTTATCGAATACTCAAAGAAATATTTTCAAAAGAATTTCTCAGAAAATTAGTCATATTTTATTGCTGTTATTGGAGCGTTTTTAACTCACAAGTCACGTTAATATTCAAACTTAAGTCGGTCACAATTCATCAAATGATTTTTAAAAGAGGATTTACTATCTCCAAAACACTCGTTCAAACAACTTTAACGACTTTACGGCGGTTTAACGATTGTCGAACATTTTATTATCTTCATAACGCGCATAAGCTTGGCTGAATTTTACTACCCCCTCGACAAATTATATAAGTCGGCCCATGCACCATTAAAACATGTTATTTCATCACATTATTTCTGTTTGCTATTGGAGTCTAACGAATCAAAATGACTCCATAAAATGTGTTGCTTTAATATATAAAAATAATATACTATGATTGTAACACGTAACCATGTAACCGTAGGGTTTACATCGAAAACTAAAATGATTAAATATAGCTCTGAAAAATTGAGTTTGATGATCAATAACATAATATAACTAACCTAAAAAATAGTATTTCAAATTAATACAATAATTTTAAATCATAACATTAAAAATCAGTCTTAATAATATCAAGGTTCACCTATATTTTGTTATTATAACATGTTCGATAGTTTTTTTGTCATCATAAGTTCGAGAAATGTTTGTCTAATAAATAGCTGCTTAATGATTTAATATTACTAGTTGTTTTTTGTATATCATATTTTTGAAAATAGCTGCACTTACGTTAAATATTTCATTATTTCAATGAACTTGAACTAAGATTATTATATTTAAAAACTGTAGATTAAACCTTAGAGTCTTGTATAAGTCCATAACTTATTTTAATGGTTTTCGTTTTGAATAATTTATCACAATGACAACCTATGCCCAAAAACAATTTTGACATTAATTTAAATTAATGATATTGTTTGAAAATTGTTACAACTTTTATAAAGAAGACAAAAGTTAAACATCTAAGCTTTGACTTGAGCAAAATAAACATAACCAAACATTTGTCAGTTTACTTGTGTGTAATGTAATATGTAATATTACATAATGCGCACTATGTATGTATATTGCTTCATAAAACATCATACTTAAAATGAAAACTAATAATTTTTATTAACGTAATATGTAATGAATTACATTAAACAACTTTTGAAATAATAGAATATTTTAATTTATATCTGGGATATTAATAAATAATTATAAATTATTTTAAAATCAAGAAACTAAAAATATCTGGACGTATACAAAATACCACTTAGCTATATTAATATTTAGTAAAAGAATATGTATCTTTTTTAAAGATTATTGAATAAAATTGATATAAAAACGATCAATAGTTCAAAAGAATAAGTCTCAATAGTCTAGATTCTATTAGTCTAGTAAGTACCTATTGAACGAACTAAAAACTCATAAATATCTGTTGATAAGAATCCTGTATTTATTAAGTCAAAAACAACAGTGGGATTTACGTATTCTTGTCAATAATTTGAATTTTTTTTATTGCTACACTGCTATTTGATGTATATAATGGTATTACGTCAGTAGATAATTAATTCAAAATACGCACATAAAAATAAAATATTGATACTAAAAATTACATAATTATTTTATTTTTTTAGATTGACGTATTAAAATAAAAATATTGACTTTTGAGTAAAATTGTTGTGGCTGGATTAAATAAACTCATTTTTCACTTATAACACCTCTGATGATACCATGGACACTTAGTAGTTTATTACACTATATACCTAATATGTATAAACTTTATTTCATCGATTAATTTTCAAGATAAAATACTTTTTTACCACTATCATATTATGTAGAATTTATAACATTAGAAATTTTGGTTTAACTATAATATTATTATATACATAGGCGAAAGTTTATTGAAAATATTGGGGAGGGGCTAATATTTTTAAAAAATGTGGGAGTTTTGGAGGTTGCTTGATGGACATTTGGAAGGCTTAGTCCTCCTCTCCGATTTCTGCTTCTGATGGTGTATGTGGATGAATATTAAATACTGTACAATAATTTATAAATAACAACTTACCGTTAAACGCAAACAATAGAATAACTGAGATCCAAAACATTTTTTTTTTGAATTTGACCTCCAAATACAGTTGTTGTTAGCTCATATAAATTGAGTAAATCGTCCTGTAATAAGAAAATAATATATTAATATCTTTGAAAGAAAGTTAGAAAAGAACTTGTAAAACAAATATAATTATGTTATTGTTTGTCTGTTTGTTGAAATAATTAAATAAATATAAATTTGAATTGATAAATTACACTATTATTGTAACTAATTCTACGACTATGTTATTTTTTCATTTATAAAAATAATGGTGTAGTGTTAGGTGTACTATAATGTTATTGAAATGGTTTTCAGTTAAAAAGTCATTGATTCGCCATTACTGCAACAATGTTAGCCTCGAGTTTTCTCGAGGAGATCCAGTATTTCTTTGAGATAAAATGTTTTTAAAAAGAATGTGAAATGGATAAAAAAAATTAATTAAAAATTGTGTGATATCGTGTTTTATTCTATTATGTATATCATACCATATTTGTACGATATATTAATTATTTTATTACTTAGATGATGACTTTATTTAATTAAACTTTCAGAGTACCATTCATTGGAGCATATTATCATATGAATATTTACGATACATTTAGCTATTCAATATTCTTTATATTTATATACTTATTAAATAATATTTTGCTATTTAAATGTATTCATTTAAATAACCTAGAAACTTATGTTCGAATAAGATACTATTGATTGATTGATAATAAAATATAACAATTATCAACACAAATTATAACTAAAAATCAGGATTTCTTGTATTTGCATGATTTTTTTGTAGTTAAATTAGGAAGACAATTCTAAGGAAGAAATAAATTGTTTTTGCGAAATGGTGAAATTAAATACCAAAGTTTTACTTTGCATATTTCGTCATATATTCACATTTTCCCCATTTTGTTATTTTTATAAATGTATTTATTTTATTGGTTAATGTCTTGTTTGAATAACGTTTTATATTTTCTAACCACAGTTTTATTTTGCTGGTTTCAAAATTGTCAAAAAAAAAATCTATAACAAATCGAATCAATCAACATACATATGAGTTATACAAATATATTTTCTTCTGGAGGAATTATTATATTTTAGGCACAGGGAAAAACGAGAGTAGGTGGTGATAGATGATTAATTGTCATATAACAATTAAAAACTTTTAATATTTATGTGATTTTAACTAATTCTTAATCCATAATAATTTATATTGTGCTTATTTAAAATTGTTAATAACTAGATTATTTTGTGTAATATGAATTACCTGTACGTTTTTTTTCAAATTAAAACAAATTTAATTACATATTTTCAAGCATGTATGTTGGTCATTTAATTTTAATTTAGGTTAATTTCATACTTAGAGAATTTTAAATTGTTTAGTTTAGAACACTGCTTATGATTTATGACATTTTATTTTTAATATTCTAATTTTAGTCTTTACATTATTATTTGTACCGATATCGGTGCTAAATTGCATGATAGTATAACTATTACACAATAAACATCTTTTCTAATTTTATTCTTCGTAAACTAGTGGATTGGTGTATTTAAAAACATCTTTAAATAATCAAATGAAGAAAAAAGTTAGTTAATGTTTGCAAGTATCTACAAGTTCAGGTGATATGTTTTAATATAATAATAAATTATTATTATAAGCTAGTACCTTAGTTCTGTTACATTAAAATATTCCATTCATCAAGATCCTACGAGATAAATATGTAAATTTGGTTAGTATTATAAAATTATTTCCAAGAAATACGGGTTAAAATTATAATATAATAGTTATTTACTGCTTATTAATGCATTTAATATGTGTGGCTATAAACGTATATTTAGTGGCTAATCTCCTCTCCTAGTCACCATAGTTACGCTGATAATAATTATATATATTAACTATTCATTTTATAATATAATATATACATATACTTAATATTCGATGGTTAATCAAATGAAACATAATTCTCAAAATAAATATTATTTTATTTTATTTTAAGATATATGACTAGGAACATTCTATTATTTTTCCTGTAATAAATACCTTATACTGTTATAAATTATTCGTTTATAATTGTGCAGTTGAATTCAAAATTAAAGACAAGCTTATTTGTGAAAAATGAATAGTAACATATGCATAAGTATTTACTCAAAAGTGCTATAAATTATAATTATATGAAAAATAAACTGCAGGATTATACACCATAAATTACACATTGTCAAGACATAAGAAATAAAATCAAATTCAGAAAAGTTTAAAGTTGAATTTTGCAATGATACTAGGACTAATTAGTGAAATTTCAAAACTTTTAAGTTCACTGAGACCTGTACATAATATTATATTATCTTAACGACATACTTAATTTGATTTTAATTATCTAGTTATTTTTCAAAAAGTCCGTTTTTCATACCATTTATGTATTAATTGACAATATCCGATTTCCTACCCTTTTAATCTGCATTATTTATATCGGGGAATATATATTTATATATCAGATCATTAAATAAGAACAAAATAAACAATCTCATACACAAAATATAATGTATCCTCAAAAATATTGTAAGTTGATTCTAATGAGATTTGTTCCACTAATTGATTCTACAAATTACGTTTACAATTATATAAAAATCACTTTTTTAACTGAACTTGTTAAATAGATAGGCCTTATGTAATATCTGTTATTGGAAAGAGTCGGTATAAAAATGTTAAATGAAATTTTTTCTTAAAAAGTCCAATATAACGTGTTTTAATTGTTCTAATCGACATTAGTTGATTGACATTGATTTATTTTTCAGTTATGCTAAATTTTTGAAACATATTATAGATACTAAGTTTATAATAATTTACAGTATGAAGTATAAAAATTAAAACTTAAACTGTGCACTTTGCTATTAGGGTGTTAATACCTAAACAAATGAAAATATATTACCAATAAATACTGTGGATAAGAGTTAAGAAGTAAAATGTGTAAATACAACTAAAAAATGATGAAAATATTTAACAAAAAATCTTCAAAAAGTAGAACAACAATTGACACGTAAAACAATTACCGTTAGATCCTATAGATACTGTTATAGGATATTATAGGTTGGACAAATAAAAATGGTCACTTCATCAAGACTCTACCCAGTATGAAAAATATAACATATTAAATAATAAATATTAATATGATATTCTATAACTTACCCTTTAGTTTTATAACTTTTTTTTGTTTTTCTATTATCAATGCAATGATACTGAGTTTTCTTTTATTTATGCTTTAAATAAATATAGGTTCCTTCAGTACCTATCGATATTTCAATGAAATTAAACTTTTTTCCTTTTATCAACCAATCAGTTATAATGACCACAGTTATAGCTATGTGTTATATTTACATATATATATATAAAAATACAAAAGAACACAACTTTATTAAATTCCAATAATATAATAACGTCATTATTTAGGGGTTCTATTTAAACCTAAATGAGTTTGAAATATTTCAGTTTCGAATTGATTAGACTAATTTTATTTCATTTGGATACCATTTTACAGACCTAATTTTTTTTATTGATATTTTATATGCAAGTAACGAAAGAAAATACCTTTTTTTCTGAAAATCGAAAACACGTATTGGTGGCTACGTCGATTTCAAATTCGTGATCAGAATACCGTAATTGTGACATTTCAAGAAAGAAAAAAATCGACTTTACATATACGGTAGTCTTCAAAGATGCATGTGCGTAAGGAAATTCTTAGTGGAAAAGGAGAGAGGAAGGAGTAAAAACACGTTGCTGAACTCCTATAAAAATTGAAAAACGTATTAAATCGATTTCAATTCAATGTTAAAGGGTAGATGCCCTTATAGCAAATATTCTAATGCGAAATAAAAGATACACAGGGAAAATGTCAAATGCGCAGAGTACAAATCACAATAAAAAATATATACCTATATAATGTAGGGATACATAATAGCCGGTAAGGTAAAAGACATAAAAAACATCACCAGAGGAATTATTTACAAAAGCTAAACAAAACATTACTTATGACAATAATTATATGGGTGAAAAGTACATGGTCATCGTATAATGATGAATTATAATATAATTATATTATTAAATAAAATATGCTTTTCAATATTGTTTATTTATATTTAATTCTAAATACATACACATACTATTAATTTGCATATGTTACGAAGACGGAGTTTATAGTAATAAGTTTACTCATTTTTTTCAAGAGTAAAGAGCTATGATTCAAAATACTTCAAATAAATAAAACAATCCTCTTAAAAATGTAAACAAAATTATCTAATAATTGATGATGATAATTAATATTAAATTATTAATTTCTAACATATTATTTTCTTCTTAAATTTTTTAAAAAAAGAAAAATAATGTATTGCAAGGACGCGATTGTTATAATATTGGTTTACGCTAATGTACTGATTTTTTATAAAAATGTTAAAAACGTACGATTGTGGTGAATAAAAAAAGAAAGCATGTCGATTATACGTGACTGGCGATTGAAAAATTGTAACTATGTTTAACATCAAAGGAACATCCATTCCGTAGTCAGTAAATGTAGTAGGATATACATACTTGATTTTACGAAATATCGCGTTAACGTCGATCATTATTTGTTATATATTTATGCATAATAAAGTATAGTAATTTAAGTTTCAGGATGTGTTATTCTAATAAAAATTTATAAATTATCAAAAATTATATCATTAGAGACCTACATTTTTTTCCCTGCGAATAATGATTTATTAATCACAGCAAAATAACTAAAATCAATATTTTTTGAATAAATCCAATTTTAGTAATTGCACTATTAAAATATACTCTATAAAGAAAAAAACATCCGTAATATTTATTTTTGAGATCTTCAATTTGCTATAAGAACAACTTAATATTATTAATCTTGTATTGAACAATATGTTTTTCTTAAATTTTTATTTCACTAACAACCATTATCATTTATTAATAATAAGTAGGTTAGGTAATAGGCTTATATATTTTGAAAAAATATTTACCTAATCGAGACGGGAAAAAATGTTTTACAAATTTATAAACATTATTTTTATATTTTAATCGATTTTT